TTTCACTACTCTCAAGCTTCTTGGCTTGGTCTTTAAATGCAGAGGTCCTGCCTCTTAACACTTTGCCATCATATTTTGGGGAAAATCCAAAGAAACTGGGTGGTAAACATCGCCAATCAGCGAAATGAGGTAGCAAAGTGTTAAATAACCCTACAGTGTTGAATGGGGAGTAAAAGCCAGTCCATCAACTACTTTTTTCTGTTACAGATGAGTACAAATAAGGGTTATGACCTAAATTCTCTCTTGTCAGTGGGGGTTTTTTTTGTTGTTGTGACACTGGCATCTGTGATGTAACAGTTAGTCTCTTTTGTCGTTGTGTGCAGAAAATGGAAGTTTTTAACTCCCGAATTGGGAAAGTTTTTAATAGAGTATATCCAACTTACCTCCCCCCCCCCGTGGCGATGCTACTGACTGAAGTGTCTTTAGACCATTCCTAAAGGAGGACATTAACCTGTTCTTATGCACAGTAGAATTGTAAATGGGCTGATTCATCAATGTCATGCTCATAACTGCCGGAACAACATAGGGAGAACTGCTGCTTTTTCTTTCCTAATCCTTACTATCGTCATTTTTCCTCTACCTCTGGTATGTTTGTCACACTCTTGTGAACTGCTATTTCCGGGGTGCCTTGATAGTCGAAGCAGACCTTGTGCTGTTGAAGCTAGAGAAGTCAGCAGAGTAAGCCTGATTCCCTGTAAAGACTTTTCTGTTGACATCCACCCCTTGGCGCTCCTATGACCTTTTGCCGTTGCGAGCGCCGTAAAAACTCTAGTAAAACTTTAAAAAGCTAAAAAATGTCCAACTGTCTGTTGAGATGTTGTACCCCACTCAGCCTGGGTTGGCTCTGACGGATAGAGTTGAGCAGCCTGCCTCCTAGATTACCTGAATCATGTCAGTGGAGGTGGAAAATACTTATTATGTGTTTTTGTTTTTGGGGGAGGTTTTTGTTTGGGGTTGTTTTTTTCTGTTTTTGTTTTTAAAGTACTTGTAATTGTTTTCCCCCTCAGTCTGTGACCAACGACTGCAGTCAGATCGGAGACAACCGACCCATCTCCTACTGCTCCTTCAGCCCCAACTCCAAAATGTTGGCTACAGCTTCCTGGTACGCCTTCTTTTTCTTCTTCTTCTTCTTCTTCTTCTTCTTCTTCTTCTTCTTCTTCTTCTTCTT